GGGGTTCTAATGGTTCAGAACTTTCAGGCCAGGGATGGGCATTTATACCAGACTGAATATAGTAGACATGGGTTGACTTATACTTTTACCTGCAGGACGGATCAAGGGACCAGAAATGTCGGTATTGCAGCCGGTTGACTTTGACCAAACTGTTAATAAAAAAGAGGGTTCGTTTACTGACTGGGGTAACGTTGTGTAATATCGCATAAAGTCTAACTCAATTATTTTTGTAGCAATCGTATCAGCGATCTTTGGAACTAGAGCCTCGCTCGGTTTCGACATCGCCGGGGCCCTCATCCAAGTAAATGTAGCGTGAGCAGAATTATTTGCAAATGAGAACATGTAAAATATTTAGTTTAGTTAGTGTAGTGTATGTAGTTTATATTGTGTACCTATTGAAGGGGTGTCGATGTGTACCATGGTGGCTTAGTCACGAGGTTGGATGCTGTAAGCCCAGGGTTCGGGAAGGAGTTGGTTAGGGTCACTTGGTGCCCCAAAATAGCGCTTATTCACCTCTTTAAAATCCAATGTTCTAAGCATGACTTGTATGATCGTTCCATGATATGATAAAGGGATTACCTTTGACATTCACTGTTGATGCTTAACTGCAACTCGCGAGGCCAAATCTAATCGGAACTTTGGTAGGCCAGATCGAGGTCACTAGTTCTCGACATGCTCCAAAATGGTGTATCTCGTGGTAGAGGTTCTCGACTACAACCAAACACAGGAAAAATTGGACAAGGGAATGTTGGAACAGTTAAACAACTAAACCGACAACGCCGCGCACCAGACAGGGGTAACGACCAGGAACTCACCGATGGGTCCCTCGCACAGCCCCACAAAAACTATAACAGGATAAGACAAGATCGTATGGGGCAATCGCTTGCACAACATTCTCTTCAGACCTCTGCAAATCCCCGCGATGTAGATGCCCACACCTCCATTCAAGATCCTCGATCATCCGGTTCCGGGGTCCGTTCCCAAGCGGTTCAACGCCCAGGAAGACCAAATCTTCGTACGATGTCCCCTCGCCGCGACGCAGAACACAAAGTGGGTGAACAAGCAATGTCAAGGGTGCAACGAGAAAGCCAGCGTGGTGTACTGCCAGCAACGACTGGCCTTCGTGGGGCCCCTCGACGGATGAGATCTGGTGGGCAGAGGGTAGTAGGTGGGTTTGTAAGGAAGGAGCCGGGCAATCGCGGTTTTGCGGATCGCAAATCCAGGGCTTTAACTTTGGCTGATACGGCATCTACTGGCTCTGGTAACCGTCGCAGAGGTGTAGCTAGTCCAGGTGCCGCACTGGGTAACGAAATGAGCCAACGTTCGACAAGTCGAGATGGAAGTGGTGGAAAGAGAGTTGTTAATAGACGTATATCGAATAGCGAAAAGTCACCAGAGCGGCCAACTGGTGCACGACCAAGAAGCGTACGACGATGCTCTTTGATGGGATCAGATAGAGAGATGGCGGAATCTGCTTGTACGGCGGCATCGGTTTCACGCAAGGCCTCCATCGCGGCAGCGAGAAGTCGTCGAGATACTCGACGTGCTTCAGAGTTCCCCACGTCTTTACCAGGCAGCGCAACACGCCGTGCCAGTATTCGGCCGGCGGATAACAAAGATGTTGGTGGTGGGTGGAACAAGTTCATCTCCGAGAGAGCAAAGCCCGTTCCAACGTACACACCAAGTATTATGCATGACGCCAGCGCCCCAGCCGCTGAAGGCGATAAGCAAAAGAGACCGATCAGGAGGCGTGGGGTTCCAGTGCGAGGAAAAAGAGTACGTGCAGATCTGGTAAAGAAAACAAAGGAAACCATTGAAAGCAAGACATCAAAACCATCCGAAATCAAGAGTGGAAAAGTAGCTACCGTAGACCAGGAAAGAGCTAGGCAATTGATTGCTTTATTGTCGGGGGCGACGTATGAGTTTGTGGGTACGACCGAGACCGCACGACCTAGCCAAGCATCCACGGAGTCGACCGAGAAAACCGAATGGCTCAAGGCTAATAGGAGAAAGTCGGCTGACAGGGGAGGAGGAGACCAGTCTTCTTCTGATAAATCCAAGCAGAAGATGGGCCAGGATTCTAGTCAAAAAAGACGGGGCTCGAAAGGAGGAGAACAGACCAAATCTGATAAAAGAGCTGGAGCAATCAAATCCGAGAGTGGCCATAAAAAACCAGCAAAAGAGGGAGGGCAGGACGGCAAGACAGTCAAACCAACCAAACCCCGCAAAGAAAAGGCACATGCATCAGATGCGGCAGGATCAGACCAGACTTCACAAAAGCTTTCCACTCCTCTTATTCTCCCTCCATTAGTCCTAGGAGATGAGAGCCAACGCAGCACAGTTTTCAAAAATCGGCCCGTAACGGCCATCACGGAAGAAGAGGAAGAAGCCGAGATTGCCGCACTACTAGCTCAAGCCAAGGAACTCCAGTTGGCCAAACAGCTTCTGGAACCTAATACCACCCTTCCGATTGATTCATCCATTAGTGCCCCACCCATTTTCCGTATGCCGTTCCAAACGTGGGGTATAAGAAGACCGCAGCATCTTCCTTCATCACGTCCACCACCCCTGCATCAGCAGCCAAAGTACACATACAAGACGTACATGGATAACCTAATGCATCCAAATATACTCTTACCCCCTTTCCAGATGCCACCCATTAAGCAGATTTTGTATGGTCCGTATGAAGAGCAGCTTTGGCGGCTGTTTTATGGACAGGCTGGTTGGATTTCTTTGGAAGAGCTGCGTCAGATGAGGTATGTGTGTCCAAGTGTACTTTGGTTTGGTTTTGTGTTTGCTGGGGAGCTGATGATCTCCCCTCCATCTGTTAGCGATGCAAGGGGGATCTTGCTTCCGATGCCTTTGGCATGTCCGGTTGTACCAGTCACCGACGGAGGTTAGAGATATTTTGAAAGATCCCCGGTCATCATACTAGAGTCGCAATAGTTAGGAAAGGATGTATATAGCATATATAGACAAGCTCATGTCTAGATCTCCTAAAATACAGCGACTAGTATTTTCCGCACGGAATCCCTTTCACATGCTTTTTGAAATCTCTACGTTGTCCGCATATGATCTCCCGCAACTATGATTTTGCTTACGGATTAACTAGTCGATGCCGATGATTGCTGCATTGCCTTCAGTACAATCGCCTATTGATCGTTGGGGGCACTCATAGCACATTTAGACTGGTGCCAAAAGAGATTCCTAAGCAGGGCAAATCAGATCGTGCCTGGGCAAAGGAACTGAAATAATTTGGATCTAAAAAGCGCAAGTCTGGGAATCAAAATAGTTGGTTTGGTACTGAGACCGGTGTAAAGCCACGCAATAAGTAACAATCCCATCCACTCCAGTGCTGGCCGTCACAAGCTCACAAAGGATTTCAAAAGACAACTATATCCCAACCAAACAAATCTATTACCTATCAACGCCAGTAATTCACATAAACACGACACAATTTCACTCTATAGCAGTCCAATCCGTCCTCTGCTTCCCTCTCCTCTTATTCTTTTTATCATGCATTTTTTTCGCTTTACCCATGACTTGGGGTTCGGCTCCTTGATGAGGGTACACCTTGACCCGATTGAAATCGGCGGAAGCGTATTTTCCCATTGAACCTGCTCGTACGGTTTGTTTTTGGGGTGCAAAAAAAGCAGCGTCCAGTAGTGAAGAGTTTGGAGTGCTAAGTGAGGTTGCTGGTGACTTGCCCTTGGCGTCAGATGGTGGTGTGGATTCGGGTTTGCGCTTTGCAAAGCGCTTGTTTTTGTACATGGGTGCATTGAAGGTGTCGGGGTTGATGTTGGGTGGTGGGTGGGCGTAGAGGATTTTTCCGTTGACATAATCTTTGAGAATGTAACGGGCTGCACGGGCTTCGTCGGGATTTCCTTGACTGCTTTTTGTAAAACCTCTTGCTACGGCGTAAGCAACAAGAAGCTCCGTTCCTGTTGGCTGTCGATCTTCATCGACGCCTTCTGCATTGCGTGTGCGAATTTTGATTCCGTAGACGTTTTCAAGGACCCATTTGGGGACGCGTTGTGCAACCAGTGAGCTGGGGCCTGTGAATTCACGGAGTTGGTCAATGGGCAGAATGCCGTTGACCACTAGATCGGCTTTGGTGGTTGCAAACGAGGGGAATACAAGACCGGGACAATCACAGAGGATCATGCTTTCAGAAAGATGAATTGTCTGAAAATGCTTGGTCTTGCCAGGTGTGGAGGAGACAGTGACACGTTTGGCGCCCACTAAGGCGTTCAGGGTAGAGGACTTTCCGACGTTGGGATAACCAACAAAACCAATGGTGGTTTTTTGTCCACCAGATTCCACCTTGCGGAGCGGCTCGGGACATTCCGTTTCAAAGAGCTCGATGAGTTCATCGGCACCAATAATCCGCGCACGCTCTGGAACTTCGGCTTCCTCATCGACCTGTATCAATCCTGTAAAGGAGGGTCGTCGTTCCGATTCTTTCCGGGGTTGATCGACATCAGGTACACTTCCGTCCTCAATGTCGTCCTCCTCCTCATCGTCCTCGTCATCCTCCCGATCCACTTGCAGCTGCGCCAAGGCCTCTTCTGCTTTACGCTCTTCTTCTTCGGCCTCTAGTTTCTCTTTTGCCAAAGCAGCAGAAAAGAACATGTACCGAATACCCTCACGCTCAAAGTAATCCGCCCACTGCAGTCTCTGCTCGACCGTCAACATATCCGCCTTATTCACCAGCAACAAATTCTTTTTTCGGGGGTCCACTTCCTTGACGTATCGTTCCACATCGGTCGAACGAAACAGCAGTGGATTTCGGGAATCCACAATCTGCACCACCAAATCGGATCGCTCAATCACTCTCCACAATTGTCTCCAAACTTCCAAGTTTCTTTCGTAAGGAGTCATGATCAGGCCCTTTTCTTCCTCCAATGTTGCCAGTCCTCGCCTCCAATCCAGAAACGAATCATTTTCTCGTCGCTTGAGTTCCTCAGGTGTCGTCGTTGTGTCCCACTCTGGTCGTCTCGGAACGGTCAACAAGTGTTTATGCTCCTGGTGCTGTTGAAGAGTTTCTTTTTCCTTTTCGGGAGTGAGGAGGAAAGGGTTTTGATAGACGTTGGATACAACCGTGATGTTGAGTTTCTCCGCTGTGAATTCTGTGCCGGCGAGCTGGGCAGTATTGAGGAAGGCCTCAAGGTCGTTCTCTTGGGTGATGGATTGCATTTTCGTCCAGTTGGAAGTAGACTCGTCCACTTCTGTGGTGTGCTGAGACCACAAAATACACAAGGTCAAAAAAAACTCGCACTCTTTCGTTTTAACGTCAGAAGCTTGCTTACCCTAATAGACCCATCCGGATTCATTTTGGTATTTGCATTGAAGCGAGTGCGCATAAGCGCCTTTCCTAGGCCTGCCTTTTTCTTGCTTGTTGGTAGAGGCATAGTGAAATCTCAACAGTAGGTAATGGAATCGTAAAAGCAAGCGGAAGCAATGCAAAGTGGTATGCCAGATGAGTAATCCAAAAAGAAATACAGTTGATTCGAACTGATTGGCATTGGATGGAATGGGATAAACACAGGCAAGTGTGAAAGTGTTTCTTGCAAACAATATGGCCACATGGAGGAACGCAAGCGGAGGCATCAGTCTCATAGAATATCTATGCTGCTTGATATCTCACATGAATGTATTGAACATCTTGCAAGTGACATTCGGCAATGAGCCAAGAAACGTTTACATTTCCTCGATAGATTCAGTCAACCCCTATTAGTGACCGATCATGCAATCCGCACTTTATTAGTACTGTCCCGCCAAAGGTCTCAGACAGCGACACCCATCCTATACTTGTATGAATAGCTCTTGTGAATGAATAGTCGTGTCCTCCATCGCACATGAAAATCACTAGGCTATGGCCCATGCATATCTGACCTGCAAATAAACTCCAAACATCAAAACCTTCAACTTCACGCACGCAAACAAACGTTATCCAAAACACACAACTCTCTCCCTACGTCACCCTTACCTTCTCTCTCTCCACAAAAGCCGTTTCGTGGCCGCGACTTTCCGCTTGCCTCCATTCGTGGCGCCCACCTCAGCTGCGCAAATCACGTGCTTCTCTTGTCCGAAAAAAGCAAATGAAAAATGACACGGGCTATAAAATCGCCCCACAGTGGTTTCCTTCATCTCATCATCTTTGTTTTTTGAGCACCATGAAGTACCTCCTCCCCCTCCTCATCCTCCTTCCCACGACCCTCGCCCAATTCGCAACGGATTGTGGTCCATCCCTTCAAACAACATTCAATCAATGCGCGTCGAATTCGCTTACAGATGGGAATGGCCAACCTGCTCCAGCAGGAAGTTCGGTCGAACAGGCATGTGCATCCGTGCAAGCCAATCAGGCGGCGTATTACTGCTGTTTGTGTAAAGGATTTACCGGGATCCAAGGATGGTGAGTATTGTTTGGTTGTTGAGTTGGTGATACCGTAGCTGATTGAGAGTTATGTACAGTATTGCGAATTACTGCCCGCAATCGGCCTCAGCACCTTCGATTGGTCAGTCTGTTGCGCAATTTTGTGGTGCGTGTCAACCTGCCAGCTCTAGTACGGTCTCGCGGGTCAGTGCGAGCAATGTTCCCTTCCCTACGTTGAGTGGGGGATTGCCCTCTGCGAGTGCTACCCCTTCTGCTACGCCTGCCCCGACAGCTGGGACGCAGGCCAAGGGAGCCGCTGCGGGATTGGGTGTTCAGTGGGGGATTGCCGTGATGGGTGTTGTTGGTGGAGCTGTTGCGTTGGTGTAAGTGAGCTTTGGCACAAGCAACAAATTATTGAACTTGGGCGTGCGCCCTAAAGTGGTGAATGTGGGGACCATATAAGGTCGTGTACTTAGGTGTTAAAAGCCCTGTATCTGAAGAAATGTGAAATATAGTGCGGAGCCGATGGGTATTGGCACTAGTACATAGATTCCAACCAATTTAATCATAATTTTACTCGATTTAGACTCATGAACTATGGTTTGTTTGATCCAAAAATCCTATGTAAGTTGTCGTCGCCCATTTTCCCAGGCTTTCATCTTTTTCGACAGATACAGATATCATCATGCCGCCAAAGAAAAAGCAAAAGCTTGAAAAACCTACTTGCTTACATACCTGTAACAAGACTTCCTTTGCAAAAGCTTTCCTGCCAAACTACCACCAACGGCTTCTAGATTACATCGCCATCATCCATCAACTCGCCGACCACGCTTCCCACGCGCTGAAATTCTACATCCTATCTGCACCATCCTTCACCGTGAACGAGGAGACCATCGAAGCGATTCTCTATCTTCTCAACAAGGGGGAGGCTTGGCATCCAAGAAAGGAAGCAAAGAAGGCATGGCGGGATTGTTTGCTGCCATATGTTCAACGGTACTGCCAAATCGTCGGCTTCGTTCATCCAAATCTACGAGGCGAGCAGCAATCAGTCAATTACCTGACAGCGAGTATGATGACGAACCTGAAAGTCAACATTCAAGAGCATTGCATGACGATGCTGCTCCGATATATCAATCTGCGGCTTGACGTGAAGGGACGGAAAGGGCAACTGCCACCGAAAAGCGATGCGCGAAAAGCTTTCTTTACTCGGCTACGCTATTTAAAGTCAGTTTTTCTTTTTGATATCGTGCCCGAGTCGCTGGATGACTTGACCGCTGAAGAGAGTGAGCTTCTAGAAGAGATCTGGACACTTAACCTGCCATTTCCTGATCAAGACAAGCCGCTTGCCTACCTCATTGCCATTGACGCAATGTCCTTCTTTCCTGCATACTGTCGGTTGTCAAGCCTATATGAAAAGCATGGATTTCGACGGTTCAGTGCGATACCTCTGCGCCGCTCGCTCATCCAAAGCAACATTCGCATCGACTCTAAAATCCTGTACCAGCATATCCTTTGCATCACGCAGCGAGAAGCAGAAGCCGTAGAGAAGGTCGATTTATGGTTGCGCGTCTGTAATCTACGTACCAAAGCTTTTCGGTCTCGCTGTGGTATGCATTTTGAAGGCTCGATCACGACGGACGGAACCTCGGTGTCTGTATACCTAAAGCACCCAGAAGCTGACAAGTATGGAAAGCGCAGTGGTGGGAAAAAGTCAGCAAACATGATGGAGGCAGAGGTTAAAGTGCAATACGTGGAGAAAAACTTACCTGCTTGTCGGGCAGCAGAAAACATTGTTGTCATTGACCCAAACAAGCGCGATATTCTCTACTGCCAAGACAGCAATGGTACGACGTTCCGTTACACTGCCAACCAGCGAGCCATGGAGACAGGTAGCCGGCGATTTGCAAAGAGACGGGAAGCAATGAAGAAAAAAGCGGGAATTGACCTCATAGAATCACGAATACCATCTCACAAGACGATGAATCTCATGGACTTCACTCGCTACCTTCTCGTTCGCCGCGCTGATTGGGATCGTCGCAAGTACTTCTATTCGCATCCTGCCCACACGCGGTGGAAGTGGCATGCATTTATAAACCGTCAGAAGAGTGAATCGAACCTCATATCCAACTTGCGCAACAAGTACGGTGAAAACTTTACCATTGTGATGGGAGATTGGAGCGATGCCGGTCAAACTGCAAGATTTCAGACCTCATCAAAGACGAAAGGTTGGCGCACCCTCTTTACAACCGCATTGATTGTTTTCTTCTTGATGAACACAAGACCTCATCTGTTTGCCCTCGCTGTTCATCCTCTGAGTTTGTTGAGAAAGGCTTCAAAGAACGACCTCATTCAAGACCTTGGCGGCGACATGAAGGCAAGGTTGAAAAAGTCCATGGATTGCTGGGTTGTACCAACCCTAACTGTTTGCAGCAAGCCTGGATGATGCGCTACTGGAATCGAGATACACTGTCAACCTGCAATATGCTAACGATCGTGCCATCAATGTTGGATGGGCACTGTAGACCAGAGGTGTTCAGCAGGAGGAGTGTTCCAGCCGTAGCGTAGCATAGATTAGTTAGATTAGCTTTTCCGAACTGGTTGTCGCCGGTTCAATCCCTGGTGCGGGTGCTAGTGCCAATACCCATCGGCTCCGCACTAAATAGTAATATCAAGAATGTTATGTTACAACCGTCCCATCGCCTGCTGCGCACCAATGCGTGTATGTCATCCTTTGTTGCCATAGCACCAGCCTACCCAGATCCGCCCCTCACCGACGGTTGCCTGCATTCGCCTTGTGCGATGCCTGTCCCTCCCCGACTGTCCCTTCTCCTCCAGTCCCCTGTGCGATGGAAGAGACATGCGAGTACTTTTGCCCAGACGATAGGAACAACAGCAACAACATCATGCAACACCTCAAAACGAAGAGCCTGGATTGTAACCGCCGGAAAGCCAGGAAACGATCGCCAAGCCATAGCACTAGCAAAAGGGCTAGGATGTACCATTGAAATGAAACACATTGTTCCACATTCCAGTAAGAACACACATATACATCATCTACTACACAAAACAATTTCTAAAAGACATGTGTAGGCATCAAATGGCTTTTTCCAGTCTTTCAAAAACATTTCCTCGATTACCGGTCCCAAACCTTTGGTCCCCACAGCGCACCCACCGATCTCCCCTTTTACCTCACCTCTCCAAAGCATGATACACTTGCTCCACCCTACCCAGATCTAATCCTAAGTACCTGCGCCGAAACAACCCTCGCATCACTACATTTAAAAAAAACGACTCAAACACCGGCAGTCCATATTGGACTCCCGTTTGTCAGTGTTGAGGAATTTAATGTTGTTGTTGTGTGGAAGTATGCGTGGCCTGTTTTGGGGATGAGGCGGGATGAGAGGGTTGTTGGTGTTGATGTGCTTTTGGGAGAGGTTTTGGAGGGTGAGGAGAGCGAAGAGTGTGTTTTGGGGGTTTTGGTTTCGGGGGTTCGGGGACGGGAGTTTGGGTGGGGGGTTGAGGATGGGTCGAGGTTTGTTAGGAGGTTGGAGGTAAGGTTGCTTTGTGATGTTTTGGATTGGATTGGGTTTATTGATTGATGGTTCTTTTTTGTTTGTAGAGGCTTTTACGACATGCGAATCCACCCCGTATTCTTCTTGTGACTTGTCAATCGACACCACAAGCACTCGTACAAACCCTCCAGAAATGGTACACCTCCCTCCCACCGTCCAAAGCCTCGCAAATCACTCTCCTCCCATCAACAAAACACGACCACGTTTTACGGCATGCGACGCACTTTGCCGTATTCGGAGATGACGTTGCGACACTATCGGAATGCCTTGGGTACAAGAAACCCGTGTATGTGATTGGGATGCAGAATTGTCGGGGGGCTTTACGGAGGTTTTATGGGGATTTAGTAGCCAAGGCTCGGGTACGAGTTTTTGTTCCTGCTGCACATGCTGGGGATGGGGATGTGTTTAGTGATGTTGGGGAGCATCCAGAGTGGAGGTTTGAGGGGGGGTGTTTGGAGGGGGTTGTTGCGGAGGTTGGGAGGAGGTTGTGGGGGGATGGGTGGAGATGATTTATTGTATGGTGTGTGTTGTTAATTTATTGTGGGAAAACATACAATAAATATTGGAAAAGATAGATGTAGAGAAATGCGAGTCTGTTCTATACACTCCCATAAACTTTGTAAACGACTTTTTGTCTATCCACTCGCAACAGGACTATTATCTTCCTCTGATCCACGCCTGGAGACCCCCTCCAACACAATACTCTCAACATCCACATCCCGATTCGTAATCACCAAATTATCCCTATGAACAACACACCCAGAATCAACGTACCCCAACAACCCCTCAATTTCCGAGCTTTTGTGGCCCTTGATACGCAAACACTCTGCAAACGAATAATTGACAAGGCCCTTTCCGATTTCAATGACGGTTTCTGTATCGTTTTTGTGAATGATGGTGAGGAGTCGGACGCATTGTTGGGCATTAAATGTTCCTTCGACGCGGGCGACACCAGCTGCAAATAAAGAGGATCGGTGTCTGTTCATGACGGCGCGGACGGCGCCCTTGTCGAGGTAAATGGCGCCAAAGGATTTAAGACCATGGAGGATCCACCATTTTCGATCCATCATGGCGTTGGGGCGGGGTAAAAAGTGGGTTCCGTGGGTTGGACAAAATGGGGTATTCGGGGTATGGGATTGGATTTCGGCGAGAATGGTGGGAATGAGAGGGGGGTGGGAGAGTGTGATGATGGTTGTGCATCCTGCCGCTGTTGCAAGATCGGCTGCAACGAGTTTGGTCACCATCCCCCCTGTACCCAGATGAGAGCCAGGTGACGACACAGTTACTTTATCTCGTAGTTCCCCTACATCCTCTACAACACGTACAGGCCTCGCATCCGGATTCGTCTTTGGGTTATCCGTATATAAACAATCCACATCGGTCATGAGGAAAAGGTAATCGGCATTGACCATTCCAGCGGTAATAGCCGACAAGGTATCATTATCCCCGAACCGAATCTCTGCATTCGACACGGTATCATTTTCATTAACGATGGGGACAACATTCATTAACAAGAGTTCTTTGAATGTGTTACAGGCGTTTAGATATTGGGTCCGTTCCGCCAGGTTCTCCCTAGTAAGCAATACTTGTGCAATGGGGACATCAAATTGCGCAAAGAGACCATCGTACAATGCCATTAATCGCCCCTGTCCAACGGCCGCGACGGCTTGTTTGACGGCTAAATGCTTTGGACGGCGGTCAAGACCTAGACGGCGTAACCCAACTCCAACAGCACCTGATGAGACGACAACGATTTTGTGCCCGGCGGAACGGAGGTGGACAATGGTTTCGACCAGGAGGGAGAGGGTGGAGAGTTTGGGGAGATGGGTTTGTTCATCGCAAATGGATGTTGTGCCGAGTTTGAGGACGATGGTGAGAGAGGTGGGATTGGTTCGTCGGGGATTGGTAGGTGGAAGTGGCGGTGTTGAAATGCGTGCAGTTGTCATATTTCAACATGTACACCCCACCTTCTTTTAAAAAGAAAAACTAATAATGCCCACCAAAAAAAACAGAGATGAAATACAGCTTTCTTAAACTCGTTGATCGCGTTCTTTGAATCTTGTCATCTCCTCCTACGCCACATGAGCGTGGCTTATAGATGAAAGTGCAAACCTCACCGAGATCTACAACGCTGTATGTTAGGTTTTTTTTTCCTGACTTGTCTGAAAAACCATGACATGCCTACCCGACACGCCACTCACATTTGCATCCAAAGGTATACCCCATCGCTACATCCAAGACCCAACCCAACAAACAACAACACTATGCTGGAAATGCGGTGGAACGGGTCAAAAACCCAGCAAACCCAACCAAAAAACCACACCTCTTGATTGCTCGCCTTGTCAAGGAACAGGAACCATATCCCCCGTACCCCGCACGACATGTAAACCTACTATACGGCCATTTAGACCGCCACCTGGTTGGACTCCGCGTGGACCACGAACGTTTGGAGACCCACATGACCCACTCTGGGCTCCCCGTCCCGGTGACATGCTCACATCCCTCTCTGGTCATTGGATGATTTACCAACTTGTCCATGGACACCGGTACACGACTGATGATGTCCTTACAGCCGCTATCGCCGTAACGCATATGAAAGGCACGCATGTGGATACGTATGTGGATCTTGGGACGGGGTTGGGATCCGTTTTGGGCATGGTGGCGTGGAGTTTGGGTGTACCCAAAGCGATTGGGATAGAAGCACAAGGCATTCATGTGGAACTTGCGCGGAAAACAATATTATTTAACGGGTGCAAGAATGTTGAGATTGTGCATGGGGATTTACGTAGTACCGAGATCCATATAGATCCTGCCATGTTGGTTACGGGTACACCACCATATTTTCCTTCGAATCGAGGTGCACTGCCTACGCATCCCAATCGCGGGATGTGTGCATTTGAGTTGCGGGGGGGTGTTGAGACGTATTGTTTTGCGGCGGCACGGTACCTCAAACGTTCCGACAAGGCTCGATTCGTGTTTTGTCAGACGGGGTTAGAAATACCGAGATCAGAATTGGCAATCAAGCACGTTGGAATGCAAATCCACGAACGATGGGACATTTGGGGCCGCGCAACACAAACTCAAGCCCTCATCTGCATCTTTTGTTGTGGATGGGGGGAATGGGTAGATAACTACCGAGTTCTTCGATTGGATGTACGGGATAGAGAAGGGAATGTATCGAAAGATATGCGGGTGTTGATGGATGTGGTTGGTAAGGCGGTCCTTGTATAATCTTATGAGCATAGAGTTTTTTGTTGGGTGGGCGAGTAGTAAGATTGGTTTGTCAAGCGTGTTTTGGAATGTGGGTGTGTGAGTGGTATATGGGAACGGGCAGGTCCTTGTATAGTTGTGTTTTTTGTTATATATTTTTAGTGTAGAGGTGACAGAAACTGGCACTAGCTACTACACCAGGGAATAAACCAGCGACAACTGGCTCGGAAAAGCTAAGCTACTACTAGGCAATTATACACGCAATACGTAACGGTTGGTTCTAACCGGATAACTGCCCACCACCACACGCGGTCCCTACTAGGCCTTGATCCAGAACTCTTGATGGCATTGAAGCCAGACTCTTGCATCCAGGAGCAAATCGACTGGGCAGCGTCACAAGCTGGTGGATTTTCAGTGACAAGGCTTGGAGACTAAAAACTGCATGTCAGCGACAGAATGACAGAATGAAATGATGCAATCAGTACATACCAACCAAGCTCAACTAATGTGGCAGTATAATAACAGCTTTGTTGGTTCCGAGTGGTTGCTGCTGGTTCTAGTTGGTTGTAGTCATCGGGAGGGCGAGGTCCTCGGCACCACCACACATCTGCATTCTCATGGTTGGACTTGACAGTCGCGATGAGGGTTGCGCAGATGCTTTGCGAGTCGAGGATGGGTAAAGAGGAAAGAGGGAAGAGGGAGCAGGTCCCCCTTTTATAGACCTTCGGCATGCGCCTCACCGCAGTTTAAAAGAAAAAAACATTACAATCCATGCCACACGGTTTTGAGCGATAGAGGGGGTGCTGATTATGCGATATGATTAACCGGATTAATCCGGATAAAAATGGGTCCTAGAGCCATTTTCAATCACCTCCACACTATGTATATATTCTACGAGGCATTAGAGTTTCCACATAGATCCGATTACGTCAGCATAGTCCCCGCTCGGCCACATTTCGTTTAAGGCATCCTTTTGCACTTGGCAAGTTGCGGACTTTTACTTGTCAGAAATCACTTTATATTCCTTTCTACATGGTATTCCAAAGACGACCAGGTACGATCCGCTACTCTGCGCTTGTATCCCGATGATGGAGAGGACCTTTGTTATGAACGAAAACTAACAATATCCACATTCTCGTTCCATCTTTTGCGGAAAAAACGGTTTTATCTACAAGAAACTAAGAAAGTGAGTAGATCCTTATATCGCAACAAAACAGGATAATGAAAAACTAAAAAACTTGCAGTGACGACACCTACGTACACATACCCGGCTTTTCAAATCCGGTATCCACTTGGGAAAGGGTTTCCTACCAGCGGAGGTATAACCAAGCAACCAACTTGCACCGCCAGGTACTCGCTAAACGTTTGTTGGTATTTTTTAGTTAGGAAATCTCAATCACCTACTCGTCGACCCCGATCATCACCTTCCACTCTTCCTCGTGAAAAACCAGAGAGGGAGAAGGAGAGATCGGCGGTTGAGAATGAGTATATAAAGAATTTGCAGCAGCAGGTTTATTTGTTGGAATTGGAGACGAGATATTTGTGAGTTTTTTTTTTTTTTTGTAGTTGGGTTTGGGTTGAGTTTTTGTCATGTACTGACATCTTTTTTTTTTTTTTTTTTTTTTTTAAATGGGGTTTTTTTCTTCCAAAGACGATCTGGACGATCTAAATCTGGGAATGGTACCAAATTGTACATCATCTTTATTGCAAAAAAAAAAAGTCATTCATCAATGTCGTTTTTAGAGGACACTTCGTTCCCATTTCAGGGTACCGATGCGACGTCGGCATGTCTTAATGGAGGTGTACCCACCGCACCCCTCAACACCGTCATTAAAGATTTAAAAAACAAGTATGTCGAGTTACAGGAGGGGTATAAGCGACAAGTAGAGGTAAAAAAGTCTTTTTGTTTATTGTTGTAAAAACAAAAGGTTTAACACCAAAGAAAAAGAAACTCCAAGAAACCATCACAAACCTCCAAAAACAAAACCACACAACAACCCTAACGACCGAATCCCTCACCCAAACCCGAGACCAACTCTTGCAGGACCTTCAAACCCTCCAAACAAATCACAATACCGAAAAAGACGGCTTATACAAGACGATTCATACATTAAAGCAAGATCATGAGAATCTAAAGGCGGAAATGAGGCGATTGGAGATTTCTTATGAGAGGTGTAGGGAGGAGAAGGAGGAGGGTGTTAAGGAGGTTGTTGGGTTTAAAATGGAGGTGGAGCGTTTGCGTGGGCAGGTAAGGACTCGTCAAGGGAATTTGTAAAGGTTTTGTTTTTAACTGTTGTTTTTGTGAATGTTGATCGTTTTTTGTTTGTGAGGTAGGTGGAGGAACAAGTACAAGTTCATGACAAGTTGCAAAAAAAAGTAGAGGAATTGAGTCGTGATAAAGCATTTCTTCAGGTAACGTTTACCACTTTACAAAAAAGCATTTTGTAAATGTCGAGTGCTTTCTCGTTTTTTGGGGGTGAATCAAACTCTTCTCCGTATTTTACAAACCAACTCACCCAACGTTTTAAACCCATAGGCCCAACTAGAGACAACACCACCCCCACCCCCTCAAATCCCCCCAGAAACCCTCCAATCCCTCAAAACCCAACTCCTAACCTCCCAAACCCAACACCAACAAACAGAAACCCTCCGCCTAAAACTCCAAACAGACTGTTCAAACCTCATTAAACTCAACACGGAACTCACAATGGAAATCGAATCCCTTCGTGATGAACTTGGTCGAGAGCGCCGCGCACGAGGACATACTGGTCGTATGGAGTGGGTCAAGGAAACTGCTAATGTGCGACAAGAGGTTGAGGATTTGAGGGATCAGATTGGCATGTTGAAAATTAAGATTCAAGTGGGTGAGAATCAAAAGGGGGAACTAGTCGAAAAGGTATATACGTTTCTTATTTTTTTATTCATTATCGTAAATGGAATGTTTATATTCAGTCTTTTTGTGGGTAGCTTAAAGCAACGGAAACAAGTCTTTCAAAAACCCTCGAATCCCGCACAACACTCTCTGAACGTGTTCAATCCCTCCAAGACCGTTTACACGCCCAAACCCTCGACATCGTCTCCCTCAACCAAGACAAAAGGTATTTTTTTGCATCCCTCATTTCCAATATATTCCAAAAACTAGTTTCTCACCAACAATGTTTTTATTAGTATCCTCATTGACGACCTGGCAACCCTAAAAAACACACACACACTCCTCCAATCCAAATACGACTCTCTACTCCAAAAAAATCATTCACTCACTGTGGAACTCGAGGCGCATAAACAGCAACATGCGGATAAACAGAAATTGGCGAAATTGTTGAAAGAGGTCGAGTATTCTGGTGAGAGTTATTTGGGGTTGATGAAGGGTGTTCGACAGGTTTTGGATAAGTGTCAAAAGGATGAACAGGGTGATGCGGATGTAGAGTAATGTTGGGTATATTCATTTCAGTATTTTTTTAAATGGCAATACAAGTAAATGGGAGCTATGAGTCTACACGGAACAGGAGATACGTGTATGGATATGGTTTGGGTTGCAAGCATTTTGAATGTGTACGATTTCATTATGGCTGGAATAACAAGAGCAGATTTCTTCTTGTTCTTGTTATGACAACTCACACCCATCTCACATCCATCCCGATCTCTACCATGGTGACCCTCTCCATCCATATTCTTTATCGGCATGCAAAAACACAACAACGTACAGCGCACAATGGTACATTGCACAGAGGTAAAAAAGAAGATGAGGTATCATGTTTTCCCCTCTTTTTTTATTAATAACCTACATGACAACAGACAAAAAATATACTAGTAAAAAAAAAAAAAAAAAGCAAGACCAACAGCCATAGAAAAACCAGGGACAAAACACACACGAGCACTTTTTCGCAAAAACCCCCCTCCACTCCACCACTATGTACATGATATTACCCAGAAAACTAATCCCTTTTTGCTAATGGGCCGCGCGCGCCTCATAAAACTCTTAGGCACCACCGGAAATCACGCCTTGAGCAATACCCGTCACAAGATTAAACGAATGCCTCCAAAAGTAGTAATTGGACATTAAAATCAAACTCGTCGAAAAGCGGGCAAAGCGGATAAACTGTCGAATAGCTTCCACGACTTGAGCCACAATTTCATTCACGAGACGGTTAATGCGGTCAGCCCAGCGGGTATAACGAGCCAATTCTTCGGCTTTGCGCTGGTGGGCGGCCCGAATGTCCATTTCAAAGTTGCGATAGTTGCGGTCCCACGTTTGTTTGGCAATGGAGGCGGGTTCATTCGGGACGAGTTTCGAGGTAAACGTTTCGAGTTCGTTGATGCAGCTATTTGCGGCGCCTTCGACTTCGCGGAGAATGGTGCGGAGGTGCTTGCGGCCATTGATTTGAACCGGGTGGTTGCCCTGTTTGCGGACCTTGTCGATAAATTCCGTCCACACCGTGTTGGCAGCTTCGGCGGCCATGTTGGCCACGAGCGCTTCAGTAGCCGTGACCATGTTGAATCGGTTTCCACCGTCACGAATCTGGGTCAAGAGTTCGGTAATGAGCTGGACGACTACGGGCCCGTCGACGGGAACACCGCCGACAACAAACGGAACGAGCGAGTCGGCCAAGGTATCTGCGAGGGCCGCCACGGCTTCCTGGTGCACGGCGGTATTGCCACCCACATTAAAGGGCAATTTGGCAAAGTTTGTGTCAAAGCGCTGACGAACGAGGCGGCGCACGCGGTTTGTTTGTTCATCTCCGTCCTCTTCGCTCAGCAAGTCGTCCAAGAGACGACGGTCGGGAATGTCTCCATTGATGGACATGTTTTCCACGAGGACGAGCTGACGGGTAATGTCGACAGCGTCGTCGGCACTGGTGGCGTTTCCCATGTTGACGACTTGCATGACCGTGTCCAAGCCACCGGTCGTGAAGCAGCCTCGCTCGAAAACGTACATTTGGGTGGAGAGACGGGCGGCGAGACCAATGACAAAGGGGAGGGCACTCTGGTTGTGATTTGCCCCGCCTTCGCAGTCGAGAAAGACAACGGTTCCCGGACCGCGAGGGTTTTCAAAAACCATCATGTCGATGCCGTGAGTGCAAGGGACATTGCCAGGAGCAGAAGCGAATTTGTGGTCTTCGTTGCCGACCAAGTGCGCGCGCACCTTTGTCGCCGTATACGACTTGCCGGATCTATAAAGTGCAGGTGTCAAGTACATTAAAGAAAAACGCCACTCTAGAGAACATTACCTCCCAAATCCAGTAAAAGCGACAATGTGAATGGGCACTGGAAGCTGAGACAAGACGAGTTCTGCCTCTGGCGTAATGCCTGTAGCCGTGTATTTGATACTTGTACTTCCAGGAGCAATGGGAGCAGCAACCACCTTGACAAGAGGAACCGGTTGGTCAAGCTCTCTCCAGTCGACAGAAGGAGGTCTCCTTGAGCGAGCACGCGAAATGAGGCTGTTGAAAGTGCCAGACACGTCCAATGCCATGGATGCCATGGCTGTTGTATAAGAGTGAGAAAATGTACGATACGAGTTTTGAGAGAGATGAGAGAAAAAGATGATGATGATGACGATGAGGAGGAGGAAGAACGACAAAAGAGAGAGAAGAGAGAGAAGAGAGTATAAATATAACAACAAGTTTGCATGCAAAACACGTGAGAATTTCACATGTCATGAGAGAGAGAATAAAGAAATGTGACTATTCTTGGCATAATAATTATTGACAAAGAGAGAGAGAGAGAGAGAGAGAGAGAGAGAGAGAGTGGATGAGAATAGAAATGGGTGAGTGAGTGAGTGAATGAGTGAGTGAATGAAATGAATGAGTTGAGAAGAGAGAGAGATATATATAAAGAGAGTCTCTCCCCATTCAAATAGAAATGTCACACATTTAACAACTCACACATTTAACAACCCCCATTCACACACGTTTCTCTCACCAATTCAATTACAAACACTCACACACACTCTCTCTCTCACATTTGCATTTGGACATGCTAAATATATAGTCTCTCTTTCTCTCTCTTCTCTCTCTCCACACACACACACACACACATTAATATTCATCATAGGGGGGAATTCTCTCTTCACTCTACATGTTGATTTGTCATGACGCGTTTTTTTCTTGATTTATTATTTAATGATGTCACTTTTAGTCTCTTCTTATTTCAAGCCACTTTCTACTCTCTCTCTTTGACTTGCTAGAGGACATTACTCTTTCTCATTCTCTCTCTCTCTTCTCTCTCTCTCCCTGTCACTCTACTCTACTCTTGCGCACTCTACTCGTACATTACTCTATACAAATGCCTGATACGGTCATGCCTACTACTACTACTACTACAACTACTACAAACACTTCTTCATCGCAACGCAAAAGACCTTCCATGAACAGCAGAGCTTGCTCATATCAAGATACTTGTCGCTATCGCTCATCTCTCTCTTCTTCTTCTTCTCGTGAAGACTTGCCTTCTAAACTACGTCCTTCTACTCCTGGTGCTTCTGTCAGAGGGCCTCCTCCCACGACACCTGGTTCTCGCCCTAGTCCCTTTTTTCCTGGATTCTGGGTCAAGGATCCTGCTACTTCTGCTACAACAACAACAACAACAACAAGTATCTGGGCAGAATCCAGTCCTAGTTTGACCGGAAAATTTGTGTTTGAGACGGACAGCACGAGTACGCCATCTGATTCATCCCACACACAGCACTTTGCCTTCACAGTCCATGCCAACCGCAACCTCTCGGCTCACTCGCGTCCCGGCACTCCCATAGACGAGGCAGGTATCCCCATCCCTATTACTCCCGCTCAATCCGCCGAACGCGACAAGCAGGAAGAGCAGCAGCTGGAAAACGTGCCTCCCACCCACCGCAAACTCATGGTCGCCGTGGACGCGGCAGACCAAGAGGGGCTGAGAACCTTGGACTGGGCGTGTAAGGAAATGGTCCAACCTGGCGACACCCTCGTGGTGGTGCGCGTCGTCAAGGAACAAAAGGGCTTTAAAGGTGAGAGCATGTGTTTGTCTGCACAATGTAGCTTTTAACACGGAAAACTAAAAATTACTTGAAAAAAGGCGGCTATGCAGCAGCGTCTGAAATGATGAAATCCATTGAATCCCGTGCTCACGAAGAAGCCGACCGCATCACCTGCCATGCCCTCCGCGCCCTGGGCCAACAATCCAAAAAATGCATTGACCTCTACGTCAAATACCGAACAGGCGATCCTCGCTCGCAAATTCGCGAGCTGGTCGGCACCGAACACCCAGATGTCCTCATTGTGGGCAATAATCGCAAACGGGTGTCCAACACTTTTTTCCATGGTGGAGAACAAAGCTTTTTGCCAGAGGGGTCGAATGTACCTGTGGTGTCGAGTCGTGGAGTCTAGTGGATTCAAAACGTTTGTGTAAATGTGCTTTTGCTTGTGTGTGTGTGTGTGTGTGTGTGTGTGTATGTTTTTTTTTTTTTTTTTTTTTTTTTTTTGGAGACTTTCTTTTCATTGTTGCGCGTTCGAGTGGGTTGGTCTGGGGAGAGAGAGAGAGAAAGGCGACAGTTGGCATGAGACGTGGTGTACAGAATATATAAAGTTCGTGCCTCTACTGGTTTGTAGGATAAATGGAGAATGAGGGGGATCCTTTCGACGGGGAAGACATCAAGTCAAATGTACAGAAATAAAAAGATTACAGCCTTCTTGACTGTTTGCATATTGGAAAAAAAACACGGGATAGTGTTCCCATCCTAACCATCACATTATGACATTTGCTTCTAAGCACATTTTGGGATTTGCATTCTGGAAATTGCATTGTTAAGCGTGTCCCATCACGGTCATCACGGTCATCTCGCACATCATTGATGCGTCCCCCACTTCCTGGCCATCACACCCTTATTGCAGATCCAGTTGAAACCATCATGATGATGATGATGAGGGTCATCCGCACTACCGGATCGGTACCGATAACCCGGCTCTACCAGCTCTCAACAAATGACTCATCTGCCCACGTGCACACATCATCAACCTTCCCGTCCAAAAAAACCACCGCTTCAAACAACTGATCGCTCATTCCGCTCACCCCGCACACTAGACAAAGCATGGGTCGTCGTAAACCCATCGTAACAACAGATCCCCACCCTGATCTCAACGATGGGTCTGTTTCCGATAGCGAACTCCTCGCTCCCGCCGCTCCCAAACTCAATCTCCGCGAAGCATGGGAATACGAATTTCGAGATCAAGTTGATCCGACAGTGGCATTCTTTTATAAACCGCGAACGGTGCGACTTGTATGTCATACCCATCATGGTCATGTTTTCTTTTTTTGGTGCTTTTATGTGTGGTTTCATGTTGTGGTTTTTTGTAGTTGGTCCTCATGCTCGCTGGACTCGTCTACCTCGCCCTCTTTGTCATGAAAGACGATAATGTCGTATTCAATACCAAAGTGTACGTTCCTTTTATTTCTTGCCCACCCACCTTACATTGGTGCAAATGAGGGCTGACATGTCTTAGAGGCTTGGGCGCATCAGGTGCCATGCTACTGTTGATTGGCATGCTCCAGTTCCGGGATGGACCTTTTATCCGACCTCACCCGGCGTTTTGGCGGATTGTCTTGTCGGCCAGTGTGGTGTATCAAATGATTCTCGTTTTTATAGTCTTTCAGGTATGATGTACTTGTTTTGCAACCATCTGGGTGCCATCTTTGTAAATGTCACCTAAATTTTTGGTTGTAGAGTAAACATTCCATGCGATCCTTGTTGAAATATGTGGATCCAACATTGGGTGTCCCCCTCCCTGAACGATCGTATGCCGACAATTGTGAATTGACGGCTGAATCCCTCTGGGTTCGTTTTATTTACTGCTGCGCTTTTTCATTATCCCAAATGGTTTGACTTGTAAACTCAGGACCAAATGGACGTTTTTGTAATCGCGCATGCACTCGGATGGTACGCCAAAGCCATCGTGTTGCGTGATTACTGGTTTTGCTGGATTCTGTCCGTCATGTTTGAAATGATGGAGTATTCTCTTGCGCACCAGTTACCGAATTTTGCAGAGTGCTGGTGGGATCATGTACGTGTGATCGATTGTTCCTTTTGTTTTCGTACAATGCTGATTTTGGATCTATTTTCGAATTTTTGGGGATAGTGGATCCTAGATGTATTACTCGCCAACTGGGCTGGCATCATTCTCGGCATGAAGACCTGTCAATACTTTGCCATG